GCAAAAGCCACTGAGGGCTCCAGGACTCCTCCTTTACCTGGTCTGCTGGATCAGAAAACCTGCACTGTGTCCATTCCTGCCCCTACAATGCTTAACATTGCATTTCAAGATAGTTTATATAGCTGGAAAAATAAGAATATCCTTTGATCCATTGGTCTCCATTATGTAATCTGACCTTGTTTATTTATGGATATCTTGAGACACATATACCACACAGATAATTTGTACACTTGCCTCCTTTAGTGTCCATAGCACTTTTAGCTGCATCCTTGATGTTTCTTCTTGTTCTGTTTTACAATTCCTCCTTCTCTATTCACTTGCTAAATATTACTTCCTTAGAACTCCTGCTCAGACCATTTCCTCTCATTGTATTTGCTCTTCCTGGATGATTTCACCCTCAACCACAGTGGCATGTGGGTAAATGTTAAACGTTGGGGGTGGGGGTGGGCATCAAAAAAGCACAGATTTGGGCCTCCTCAGTGGCGCAGCGGTTGAGCCCTGGGTTGCAAAGCTGCCCGCAGCCTCTGCAGCGCCAGTTCGATCCCCGGCTGCTCCCCGGCCACAGCCACCGGAGGAGGGTCCCGCATGGCGTGCAGACCTCTCCTCCCACCCACTGCTCCCCTCAGCAGTGTACTTCGGTCCTTCTGCCTGCTCTGCCCCCCGCTCTGGCTCTGGTGAATTCTCTCACCTTCCCGCGCTTCTGACTGTACCCAGTGCTTGTGTAAATAAATAAATAAATAAATCTTTAAAAAAAAAAAAAAAAGCACAGATTTGTAGTGTTTGCTGATATTTGTGGTGTAAATACTCTCAACACAGCTGATTTCAAGCCACCAATCATTATGGAGTTAGGAAATAATGCAGGGAACTCGCCTCCCAAGCTGTGTGGGCCAGTTCCAGCACACGCTGACTATGCCCATCATTTCCACTACCACCTGCTTGAAATCTCTCCCTCTCTCCCTCCCTCCCCACCCTCCTCCCCCAGTTCATCCCAGTTCAAATACAATCGAATGTCACATCTTCTCAGCATCATCACAGGCAAAATGGACACACAGATCTTGTCTTCTATTTCCAGTTTAGCAAGGTAATCATGGATGAGAGCAAGTGGCCCAGCCCATGGGAAATTTTCTGTAGGGTAAGGTAAAAAGTATCAGGCTTTTCTGCCCTCCCGCCATCAGGATAGATGATGGGTCCTTGCGGTCCTGAATGCATGCCTGATGGCGGGCACCTGGAATAGGGTGTGGGCCTATGTAGATGGGATTCACCCTGGCTAATACTGATCTTTTAAGGGCGACATCACGGGGATGCCAGCAGAAGCCAAGAGAAGCAGAGAAGAAGAAGCAGAGAAGCTAAAGCAGAACTACTAGAGAGTACAGCAGCAGAGACCACCACAGAATGCCGGAGAACACAGTCAGAGTGAAGACTTGCTGGGGGCTGGAGGGCCTGCCAGCCTCCCGGCCCCCCAGCACCCCTGCCTGCCATGTGCCTGGTAAATCCCAATAAAAGCCTGAAAAGCCACTGAGGTCTCCAGGACTATCTCCCTCCTTTACCCCTTCTGCTTGGTTCATAAAGATCCTGCTCTGTGTCCTTCCTGCCCCTTACATTTGCCAACCTCGAACTTTTGAGTGAATACATCCTTTGAGCAATGGCATAAGATCACATGCCAGTGGGTGAGAATGGGAGTTTTTCCCAGCAGGGAATGGATGTTTCTAATCAATCATCCTGTGAAGTGGTTTCTCTGAGGACAAGAAATGGGTGGTGGGGAATGCTTTGAACTGGAGGAGACAAAGATCTTGAGCCTAAGAATAACTGAGTCTGAATCTAAGATACAGAGAAGCCTAGAGTTGTTCCGTGAGCAGAGGAGCTGCTGCTGTGACTTGAAGGCCAGGCATATAGCAACCAGGTTCTGATTGAACAGCAACATGGAGCTGAAAAGGCAAGGCAAAAGGGGCCAGTTTCTGGAGATGCCAGGCTGAGGCAGCAGTTGTGAACCTGGTGAGTCTTGAGAGGGCACAGTCCATTTCCAAGACTGGAGTGGAAGTCCATAGGCAGCAGTCATCCTGGTCGGCTGACCCCACAGAGTAGAGAATCTCAGAGTGGGAGTGCTCAGATGGTAGCCACAGTAGCAGCAGTGAAGCAGGTTAGAGGGGATGAACCCAAGAGACATATTTTATAGTTCATCAGAGAGGTACTCTTTAGACACTCTCAAAAATACCTACGAGGACACTCTGTTAAGCCTGGTTTCCAGCAAGTACTTCCAGGGCAGGCTCTATGCTACAAGAATGTAGGTATGCCACGGTAAAATGCCTCTATGCTGTAGTCACCAGTTAGTGATGTCAGGGTACTCCCTCAGATCATGTTTACTTTCATGAGAGCATCTATCCAAATACCTAAGCCTGACAACTGGCTGGGGTCATTCTGTATTCTCTGACCTGCCATGTACAATCAATGGCAAAGGCCTGTCAGTTCCAGCATACTCTTGAATCTATCTTTTCTCTTCGTCCTCACAGATTTCTTTAGTTTAGCCTGTTTCCTTTCTCACCTGGACTCTTCCGCATGTCTGCCAATTTACTTCCCTAACTTCTCTCTGGTTGCCATCCACCACATTGCAACAGTGTTGCCTCCAGATCTGAATGCTCTTCGCAACATCTCCACAGAACATCTCTTAGTTATCTTAACCTCCCTGTGTCTAAAATAGAATTCTCCCACCTTCAGGTGAGTTCTCCCTCCTGTAAGCTCTACCTCAGTTTATATCTTTGGAAGATGTATCAACTATTTACTGCTGGCTAACACACTACCCAAGGAGTGGCTTATGACAGTAGCCATGGATTATTCCTCACAAGTCTCAGGGTCAGTCTGGCCTTCCTGCTGCCCTGGGCCAGCCTGGGCAGATCCTGCTGGGCTCTCTCATGTGTCTATCTCCTGGGACATCTGGGAACATCCTGTCCCAGCTGGGACATCTGGGCTGACTGGCCCATATGGTCTGTCATCCAACAGACTGTCGTGAATTCAATCACTTGGAAGATGGGCAGAGTTCCAAGAAAGAAAGTAGAAACCATTCATGGCTTCTGGGAGCCTAGGATCAGAACTAACACACCATCACTTCCACTATTAAACAGTAGTTACAAAACCAGCCCAATATCAAGGGATGGAGAAATACACACCACTTTTGATTGAAGAAGCTAAAAAGTCACTGTAATGGCAGGATGGTCACAGGGCTGGTTCTTTATGATTCGAGCAGACTGGATAAAGGAGAGTCCTGGAGCTCTTGGTGGATTTCTCAGGCTTTTACTGAGCTTTTATATGCAGCAACAAGGTACGTGGCAGACTGGGCCCCTGGCAAGTCTTCACTCTGGGCTTCTCTGGCGTTCTTTCTTCCCTTCTCCCGAGTTCTCAGCTTCTCTTGGTGGATATATCAATACTGCTGCCATGGCCCACAGAAGAAAATAATATAACTTACAACAGTGTAACAAAATGCAGGTGCCCCATCAGGCAGGGCAATCCTAATGGTGGGAAGGCAGAAAACTCTGAAAATCATTTACCCTATAGTCACATTGTTAATGGTGTGGATACTCAGAAAGGCAGAGTGTGATCATTAATATGATCTTCTCAGCATAAAGTTGAGAGTCCTAGACTTCCCTGTTGTCATAGAAGTCTCAGTGCTATCACCGTGACCACCTGAGTTTGATCCCCAGCCAGGGAGCTAACCGACATATGGCACAGCAGACCTCTCTGTGAAGATTCACCTTTCAGTGAATCTGCCTGTTCTGCTCCCTACCCTGTCTCTGGTGAATCCTCTCATCCCCCGCACCTCTGGCCTACACCCCAGTTCTTCTATGCATAAAAATGATTAAATAAATCTCTTAAAAAATAAAGCTGAGAAGATACAGACTATATAAATTTAAACTGAATTTTTATGGTAACTGATACATACATATTCACAACGTTTTCTTTATTTAACCATAAAACAAAGATTCTAACCTAATGCTCTGTAGTCTCAAAATCACTTCTGTCAGATTCCTCTCATTCTTACAAACAGCTAAATTGTCCTGAAAATTCCTCACCTTCTACTGTGGACTTGTCTTGTAATGAGACAACCACTCTGAGCAAGGATGTTCAGAAAATGGATGTAGGGGCAGAATGGTCACAGGGTTGTTTCTTTATGATTTGGCAGATGAGGTAAAGGAGAGTCCTGGAGGCCTCAGTGGCGTTTTCAGGCTTTTATTGAGCTTCTACATGTACACAGTAGGCAAGGGTGCCGGGGAGCCAGGAGGCCAGTAGGCCTCCTAGTCCCTGGCAAGTATTCACTCTGGGCTTCTCTGGCCTTCTCTTCTGTCGTTCTTTCTCCCCTTCTCTCTCCTATTCTTTCTCCTTCTGCCTCTGCTTCTCTTAGTAAATATCTCAATACTGCAGTCATGGCCCACAGAAGGAAATAACACAACTATAACAATGCAACAAAATCCTGGTGCCCCATCGGGCAGGGCAATCCTAATGGGGGAGAGCAGAAAAGCCTGAAAACCATTTACCCTACAATCGATTGCATTGTTTAGTCAATTTATTTTACAAGGATTAAATCAAAACAAAGTTATTTGTTATTTAATGGTACCATTAATTTACTAATCCCTTGTCTAGACTGAACTAATTCTGGCTTTAAGGGCTTTCTGGATATTTTCTCCTTTACTTTTCACAGTTAAATATAGGCAAAGAAAAATAAAAGATGTAATTTGTCATGATCCTCAATGAAGTACATTTTCATATTCACTAAGCTATTGCATTTAAAATAGGATACAAGATGTATAGTATTTCACAATTATATGTGTTCACAAAATAATGGAAAACAAGTGCTCATCAGATTTAAAAAAAAAGAACTTATTTCTGCAAGTTTAATAAAAATAAGTGAATACATTTTAATCATACATTACAGCCTCTTGTTTAAACTTTACTTTTAACATAACTAAATCAAATAAACTTGGAGTTTATATTAATTTTTTCCAAATGGGCACTTTACATTATTTCATTTCTCCTCTAGAAGTAAGTTATTATAGCTAATTCCTTAATTTATAGTTGAGGTAATAGATGTTTAGTATGGAAAAATAAGTCACTCAAGGTCACATAGGTCATGGAGCCAGGGTTTGAAATCATGTAGTCTGACTCCTGTGCCATTCTTAGACAAAAAGCTAAATTGCCATCTTCCTCCCCTTTACTCCTCTCATCTAACTGATCTGCCAATTCTAGTGCTTTTCCATATTTATTGACTTAACTTCTTCTACCAAACCCAACTACACTGAATTTGTTCAGCCTTTTAGAAATTTTTACCTGCCTTATCCCTTTTTTCTAGTCCTGCAGCTAACATACAAATAGGAAAACTCCCCTTTCTTTAATTTAAAACACCTTGAGGAGAAACTAGCAGATTAAAGCTACAATGTGATTCCACTCTTACCTTAGTCAGTTTGGCCTGCCATAACAAGATACCATACCATACAACAAATACTTATTTTCTCACAGTTCTGGAGACTAAAAATCAAGATCACACCCACTAGAATGATAAAATGAAAAGGATACAATATCAAGTGCTGGAAAATGGGACAACTGGAACTCTCAGGCACTTCTCCTAGGACTTTAAGTTAGTCCAGTCACTTTGTAAAATTGGCTGAAGGAAATAAAGCGAAATATACACTTAGCTTATGACCTAGAAGCCCCTCTCCAGAGCTTTTATCCAGTGGAAATGCATACATATATTCACCAAAAGATCCATACAAGAACATTCACAGCAGTACAGTTCATAATAGCCTAAATTGGAAAGAACTCAAATGATGATACATAATAGAAATAAATTAGATAAATAAATTATGGCAAATTTATACAATGGGATATTATGCAACCATGAGCTTGAATGAATTACATCACCACTTGACAGAGGGTCCTCAGAAGCACAGTGTTGACTGATAGAAGCCAGACACAGAAGAGCACATACTTTGAGATTTTTCAAATGCTCAAAAATAGGCAAAACAAATCTAGCCAGTGGTCCCCCTTGGAGAGGAAAGTAGTAACTGGAAGAAACAACAGGGGACTCCAGGGATTCTGGTTACATTATGGTCTAGTTTCTGGCTACACAGCTGTGTTCAGTTCATGAAAATTCATTAAATTGAACACTTATCAGATGTGCACATTTCTGCATATATTTTACAATTCAACAAAAATGGTTCTTAAAAAATTATTCTGAAGACTCAAGATCACTCCAGAATAAAGACCCAATACTACAGTCTGACCTAAAGCCCTTTGTGATCTGATCCTTGGCCAACCTTTCCAGTTCTATTCATTACTACCCCTGGCCAAAATGACAGTCAAAACAAGCCCTCATCAATACAATATGTCATGCTCTGCCCCTGCTCATGCACCCTTCCCACATTAGCAACCTGGTTAACTCCTTTTTAAACTAAAAAAATCAATTCAGGCCTCCTTTATCAGCAAGTTTTCCCTCACCCACCCAACCATAGCTGAGTTGGGAGCCCCTGCACTGTCCTTCCTTAACATTCTGATCAATACAGGTGCTTTTCTGCTCCGTTTCCAACCTGGGCCAGTTTACCCAGTTGTCCCCCTTCCCATGAGGTCACCCATACTGATGTAGAACTTATTGGCATAATGCACTACAGCCCATAAGCTCCTGGGCCCAAGCTGTCCTTGAGAGTAACTGGGGTTATAGGCATGTACCACTGTGCCCACCTCCTCCTTAACAGTCTATGTAGTTTCCACCCTTAGTCCATTGCATTCAAAACTATCATTTTTGGTTTAAAAATCTGCCCTTGCTGCTAGACTGTGAATGTGATGAAGGCAAGAACTATGTCTTTATCTCCGCATAGTCAGCATCTTATGTCATGCCCAGCACATAACCCAATGAATAGAAAATAAATGAATAAAGAGGTGTGTGAAATTTAGCTTGCCTCTTGATTTTAATAAAGAACTTATCTCCAGTCATCATAGCAAGAAAAAAATGTTTTAAAATAAAGACAAAAACTAATCTGGCAGCACAGACTATTCCATGCCCAAAATTTAGTGTGCAATGAACGCTTTGTTCTCCATGAACATAAATGTCAGGGAAACCAAATAAACATTTCTTAAAATATATAATGTAATATTGCCCATTCCCTTAAGACTGTCCAATGTACTAAATGATTGCATTCTTCTGGAATATGGGTGAAGTGTTAATGTTCTTGGTTGGCTAGAAACGCAAGAAATTCCTCTAACATCTAGATTGGCCATGTTTCTTGGTGGATCTGCCAAAAATTCCTCAGATATCCCAGTCTGGGATTTATGGACTGAGAGTTTTATGATATTCCAGAGTGTAGAAATGACTATTGTTTTACATATTAGACAAATCAAGTAAAAGCAATGAGAGCTGTGATTGGGCCCAAGGCCTAAAAAGTGAACCAAGTTGAAAGTCATTTTCTGTGGAGGACCCAAACAGGTTTAAGCCAAGCAGAATGCTAAGTGATAATCGTACTGGCTTCTCAATAATGTTTCTGCTTACTTCTGAGTTTGGGCTTCAGGGAATGTTCCATAACAGAACTCAGAAAAGGTTTCAGTGATGAAAGATAAGATGGTAAAGATAGTGCCATGATAATGATTTCTGGCAAATCTGGGTGCTGTAGGTACAATAGCATAAGCATACCTGTAGAACTTGACCTCAAACTATCATTAAAAAGGAATTAAGGCAAAACAATCTATTTTAAATGTATCAAATCTGTGTAGTGAACCTAGGTCTACCTTTAGGGCATTTGCCAACCCCCTTTTATTTTATTTAAAGATTTACTTTATTTATATATGCTTACAAGAACTGGGGTTCAGGCCAGAGGTGCAGGGAGTGGGAGGGATGGTGAGAGGATTTACCAGAGAGAGTGGGGAGCAGAACAGGTCGATCTACTGAAATACACTGCTGAGAGGAGCAGTGGGTGAGACAGAAGTCTGCTGTACCATATGTGGGTCATTGGCCAGGGATTGAACTCTTGCAGCAGTGGCTGGCCTTAGCTTGATAGCTTGAAACTTTAACCCCTGCACCACCAGGGAGATCCAGCCAACCCCTTTTAGATGGGAACTTCTCACTCCATATACCCCAAGGAGCAGAGAGCAGGCTTATTTGTATGGTTCCTGACCCTAGCCTCTTGAACCACAGCTGATTGGACCAGACATAGACACCTGAGTCAAGTGGGACAATCAGATGCCTTCAGTTTGGAATTGAAACACAGTTAAGCCAGTGCTCCAAGTAAGAGGAACAATGGACATTTGGGGTACAAAGGAGTGGGGAAAAGTGAACCTCAAGGAGAAAGAAGAGATATAGGAAACTCGCGATAGGATAAGGGGTTATCAGGAAAAGAGATCTGTTCCTGACAGCTTTCCTGATTTTGATTCCAATTCCCTGATGAGATCTAATCCGTTCTCTGCTCCTGTCTGGCCTGCTCTTCAGGACAAATCACTACGCCTTTCTTCACGCTGGTTTGGGTGAGTTTTGGAGGTTCCAGCAAGAGATTACAAGTGTTCTGATATCAAGGCAGGAGGTATGTCTTCACTCCCCTAGTGCAGTGGAAAAAGGAAAGAAGGTACAAAGAACCCCAGCCCTCTGGGAGAGAGCCCCGAGGCTTCCAGGTCACTGTTGTGCCTACTGGAGCCTTCACTGACTGCCAGGGAATTGCTAGCCATTCCCTGATAGTAATGTGGTTCTTTAAAAAAAGAAGTATGACACTTTAATGATGACATTTTAGCATCGATAATACAAAAATAAGCCTGTGGAAAATTTTAATTATGATAGCTAACACAGGAAATTGCATTTAAGTATGGAAACTAAATTTAGAAACCTGGACAGATTGACAGGATCCCTCCTAAATAAATAGAGGAGCCAGGTGCCAGGAAGTACAGTAGCTAGAGTTGGCTGGGCAGGCAGACCCCTTGTCTGTCCCTAAAGTTTGAAGGAAGAAAAAATGCTTTTTTGTAAGCAAGCTAATTTTTCACAAGTCTTAACTTTCAGGTAGGAGAGAATTAACAATTTTTGAAAGAATCATTTTCAAAGTGATTGTTATGCTCTGCCTGCTTTGTGTCTGCAAATTAGGAAAAGGTGTGGTCATGACTTGTATTTTCTCTGGGCAGTGTTTATTTAGCCCTGGCCAAGGACCAGAGACAGAACCCAATGGAAAAGTGGGTGATGGGAAATCTCTGGGATTCCCTCCCCTTCACTCGCTGTGCCCCAACTCAGCGTTCCCTCCTTCCCCTGGTATTCTCTCTACCATTTCAAGTCCCAGAGACTTGAAAATGGGGGGCAGAAGCTGAGGAGTGACATTAGTGGTGTTTCTGTTGGGGTCAGGTTGATACGTTTAAAGGCCTGCTACCACCACCAGTGCTACTTATTCTCAGACCCAGACAAGAGGGGTCCCTGCCCTGGGCCATGAACTCTAGAGGGCCGTCCTCTGGCCACCTTCAGTGTTGCTTCATACCATGGAGTAGAGAGTCCACCAGGTGAACTTGTGCACCAGGGCCTACCTTTCCCCTTTAAACCACACTCCAGAGACTGAGACAACAGAAATTCGTCTGCACTGGCCCTGAGCCTGCTTAGAGGACCTCTTCCCAGGGTGTCCTCCCCTGATATGGATCCTCTCAATTTTAGGATAGCCTTGGGGCAGCTGTTTGAACAAGAGAGTTGACAAGAGCTGAACAATACAAGCTGGAGTGACTGGAAATGAGCCCCAGGGGTGTGAAGAGAAAGGCACCAGGCCAAGGACTAAAGTTTGACTCTGCACACTACCTCCTCGGTCTCAGACCAAGAAATCTAAAAGTTCTAAACTTGAATGTGGCCTGGCAAATTGTTATAAAGCGTTCTTTTCTGAAGTAGGAGGCCATATTTTATTTAACTGTTACCTTGATATGTCACTTTTGCTGTGTGATATGGGTCTCTTTATCTGTACTCTTGCTTCAGGTCCCCCAAATGTTAGAGGTAGACCATGCCACCACTTTAACACTGTGTAGCCTTAGATAAGTTTACTTTACACTTTGGAGCCTCAGTTTCCTTACCTATAAAACCAAGGCAACAAAGCAGAAGTTATTGTGAGAATTTAAAATGTAGCTAGTGCTATTGCTATTGTTTGTCCTTTGGCAAGTGACTTAATAGCTCCATGCCTCAGTTTTCTCATCTGTCAAGTGAGGGGAATACTAATAGTAGCTATTTTATGGGTGATTGTCAGTTAACATATGGAGGGCCTTAGAACAGTGTCGGTCACACAGTCAATGCTATGTAAATGTTAATTGTTGCTATTATTTTTATTCTTATACCTGCCCACTATAACCACCTGGCCAATTAGACTAAAGGCACAGCATGTGCGGCATGGGGGCACAGTGAAGCATACCTCTGCCACATTTTTGAGCTACTTTGGGACTTGCTTTGTGCTCCAGTCATGCTGTGATTTCAAAATCCCCACCAGTCTTCTTAGGAAGCATGAAGCCTGTTTTTGCTTCCAACTGCGACTGTTGCTTTGGCCAAATGTAATCTGATGAATACAAACTAAAAGTTCTGTCCTGGGATAACCCTCATTTGTCTCTATAAAGGGCTTTGAGATCCACTCAGAAAGGTACAAAACAAATCTTAAATCTCTGGGCAGAGATGCAATGGTGGCATGAGTGAAGGGTGGGGAAGGGATGGTGACCCCTCTCCTTAAATCCATGATTGCCGTTCCTCACTCTGGAGAAGTTTCTGCAGTCCTGTGCCTTGGCAGGCTCTCAGGACTGGGCTGGGTTGGGGAATTGACTTGAAATGTTAATTTTGTAAATATCCAAAGAGGGTTGGTCCCTTTTTGGAGGCTTGATCACACAGAAAGGACTTAGAAGGCACAAAGATCTACAAAAGGGTTTCACATCTACAAGCCCCATTGTTTCCTGCTTCATATCACCTTCATGTTTCAGACGGCACCCAAGTTAATTCCCTCCCTGGTGCCTTCAAATTTGCAAGGAATTACCAGCAGGCAGTTAGATCCCAGCACTCTCCCAGGGAGTAAAACCTAAGGTGCCAGGGAGGATATTAGCAAAACATCAAACATCAAAACCCCCAGTTCCTCAACTTCAGTAGCATCTTCTTCCCCCAAGGAACCACTCCAGGCAGGTTCTTCTGTGTCCTCTTGCTCTATACACACATTTTATCTCAAAACATTCTATTCCCCTTACTCATGCTAAGGTACAAATAACTAACAACAGCATATATATATATAGAACCTCTTTCAAATATTTTCATTTAAAAAGGCTTATGAAAGCCCTAAGCCCAAGAAATAAGGCTATTTCAGAGGTAATCAGCAGTTGAAAAGGTTTCTGTCAGTTCCTGGGGGTGGCAGACTTATCCAAAGTTCTTCTCATTTCAGAACTCATTCATTCAGCCCCCATGATTTTCCATCTGAGCATTCAGGTATGGTGTTAGGGATGGACTGCACAACTTCATTTGTGTCACTGTGATGTGTACCCCTGTGCACGGCTATTTTCCAGCATCTGTGAATGGTGAGCACTCAGTTCCTGTGACGTGGCTTCCATCCCAGCCTCTGCATTAGCACTCCCTTCCCCTATGCTCAACAGCTTCGAGTTCTACAGGTAGTCATGGAGTGGCACCCTACCACATTTTATCCATGTTTGATGGTTCTAACCACATGTATGCACTGTATCCTAGGAAAGGGACAATTTTCACACAGAGAAGGATGTCAGAGTGAGGAAAAGCAGGACCACGTGTTGCCCTTCTTTGGTTGGCTTGAATGGTACCTTTGTTTTTAAGATCATATTAGATGCAGGATGTAAATATGTAAGTTAGTTTGCATGCTGTGCTGAACAAGCCCAGCAATAAACTATAAACATCCTTGTGACATTTCTTAAAGGAAGTAGTTGCTATGTGTGACTAGCAACCACTTTTTTCAAGAGTTAAACATCTGAGCTATTTAAATTCCTCAGCAAAGTATGAAAAGCAAATTAAGTATTCTTGGCACAATCACTGAAATCAAAAGAATGAGGAGTGCTGTACTCCCCCCACACCATCTGGTGGGGGTAGGGAAACCCTAAATGTGATTCTGATTGTCAAAATTCACTCAAAATCCCTAGCCTTTAAAAGTTAATGGATAAATGATACCCTTTACACAGATGATTAGCTGGAGTGAATATTCTGTGGTCCAATCAAACCAACATGTATTTGATCGCTGGCTGCTTGCTGGGTAGTCAGAGAAGTGTGGAAGTAGGACACAGGGCACAGAGGAGATCGTTGACCAGTTGTTATGGGTGTGTCCGTGAAGCAACAGAAATACTTTTCTCAACCTTTTGTTTATAAAGCCTAGTTTGTTGGACAGCTGCTGAGGAGTTAGAGAAAATACGATCATTGATATGTTTTATACGTAAGAACTAATTTAAATGAATGTATCAGTGTGCAATAAACCATATTTTGTGCCAGTTCTTCCCTGCTCAAAAGAAAACAGATATTGCTAATTTATTTCCTATGAAGGAAAAGTTTTGATTCCACCCTGAATGTGCCTTTGTTTATTTGTAGAGCTGCTTCCTGTTTTTTTTCTTATCAGAATATTTCAGCTGTAGGTTAACAAAATGAGTAAAGCACTTAAAAAGATAAAAGGGAAAACATTTTTGTTTCAAGCAGTATCTCCTATGGGGGGGAATGCAGATGGAAAGAATAGCAACAAAACTAATGTCTATTTTATGAAACAACCAAAATACCTGCTATGTAACATTTCTGAGTTTCCTTTTACAAACAATGCGCATGTGCTTTTTTTCGTTGAATATGTTTGTGCTTGATGGGCCGTAGTCAAACCATAAAGGCATAGGGTATATAATTGATTTCTATCCCCTTAAGAGGCTTCACATATCTCTGCCTACTGCCATTATGAATGGGTTTCATGGTTTAACACTCAGAAAGTGAGTTTGTTTCCATATTTTCTATATCTTGTTTCCATGCCTTTATTTTTCTTCTTCCTGTTTCTTGGCTGTGCTGGAAACTGAGGGTAGATATCTTGTTTTTGCTTTCACGGACCACCTACATGTGAGAAATCAAATTCCAAGGAAATGTATTCTAACTCACTCTAAGCAACATATGAAAATGTTTTATCATTAGAGATTGAATGTAGTCTTCCAGTTTGCTGACAAATCCAGCTCTGGGGTATCAAAACATGGAGACTTTTTTCTCGTCTTTTTTTTCTACAGAGGAGTCAATAGTATTGAACAAGAAAGAATTGTATTACTTTTAGGCCAAAAGCATGAGAATAACACTTAGGGGAGGTTAGATAGTTAATCATGTGTCCTAAATTGAGTTGATCGCAATGTAACTGGTACATCCAGTTAATTTTAATTAATCTTTAATTTTTGTATAAGGCACAGAGCCAGCATATCAGTCAACCAGGAGAGAGAATTAAGGAGAATGTTGTAAAAATGCAGAGCATAATTCACTATCACCAAGTCAGACAATCTTGTTCATGTGCAATGCAATGGCATGATCCAAATTGAGAGAAAAAGAACTCAACTTTGAGATAGAGAACACAACATAAAAACAAAGAAACTGGTGATTTCTGTTCAGAAAGACTTCTAAAGATGGAACATAGCGCTGCTACGTTCACCTAACAGCACCACCTGCCAACAGCAACCAGGGAACCCAGCCAGCAGCCTGAATGGAAGATTAACACGATAGAGTCTGCCTTCTGAAGATGCTTTTCCAACAAAAAAAAAAAATCAGAATTTCCCAAGACCTTCCACAGTGATGAGTTCCAAACTGTGCCAGTTGGGGGGAAAAAAAGATTTGGCCAACAGATCCTGGATTTAATATCTGCAGCCTATTTCCAGCTTCAGAGCAATTTCTGTTTCTACCTTATAACCTACTATAGACTAAGAGTTTGAAATTTTTATCTTAAAGTATCTTTCCATAGGTTTTTTTTTTTTTAAAGAAAATTACCACAGAGAAAGCATTTTTTTTTTAACAGTTACACATATCATGCACATATATGCACCTAAAAACATAACTTACAGGACCTCCCCTGGTGGCACAGCGGTTGAGCTCTGGGCTGCGAAGCTAACCACAGGCTCTGTGGTGCTGGTTCAATCCCCAGCCGCCAGTGAGGGTCCCACATGGCACGACAGACCTCTCCTGCCACGCCCACTGCTCCCCTCAGCAGTGTATTTTGTCAGTCTGACTTTTCTGTTCCCCGCTCTGACTCTGGTGAATTCTCTCACCCTCCCACGCTCCTGACTGTACCCATTGCTTGTATAAATACATTAAAAATAAAAACATAACTTACATCTTATTCATATACAGAAATGTAAATCAAGTAGGTGCCCTATTCTCTATATGGAAAGTTCAAAGAGAAGAATCTAAACGTGTTTTTTTTTTTCCCTAAGTTAGGTGTTGTCTTTGGAACATATTTTATAGGATGTTACTTAGATGCCCCAATAAACCACCAAGTAATTGCATGCACAGAAAATAAAATCACTAATTAATATAAAAATGAGTACTACACATCAATTTAAAAAATAAATAATCCTATCTGAGAGTAGGAAAAGGATATATATGGATAGATACCTCAGAAAAAAAGAACAAAAATACAAGAAATAGACATAAAAACATACTCAACCTCACTCATCACTTAATAATTCAGGTTATGATAAGAGAACAATTTTAACTTCCAACTGGCAAAGATTAAGAAGAGCGACAATACCAGTATGCAAAGTGAGCGGTCATTCTCATACCTCGTCAGTAAGCATGGAAATTGAAGGAATGTTCTGTGATAGCAGTTTTGCAATCTCAAAGTTGATTCAGAAATTTTGCTTCTAGGAACGTAACCTACAGAAACATGTAAGGACACAAAGACAAATGAGTACAGGGATAGTGGTTGCAGTGTGGTTTCTAAAGCTAAAAACTGGAGACAAACCATTAAACAGAACGAGGTAGATCCATATGTATTCACACAGACAGTGTTCAGAAATACAGCAACAAGCGAAAACAGCAAAATGATACTGAAAACAAAAATGATACTGAAAATAATTTCATTTTTGTTATATGCAAAGGAAAAAAGGCTAAATGGTTGATATACTGAAATATAAATGCTGATTAATTGGGGGGGAAGAATTTTGTAACATCTTCCATTTCTATCTCATGTACTTCTTAAATATTTGATTACATATTAAATATTTATGTAAAAATTTTAAATAAAAATACCTTAAATAAAAATATTTTAAATGAATAACAGGACAAACATGACTTATGTAGGGTTTTTTTTTTTTGTCAAAAATTATAAATCTGCATCTAAACATGCAGAAATAATCACATAAATACAGTTTGTGTGATATTCTACAAAATAACCAATCTGGACTTCTCAATGTATTGATGTTATGAAAAATTTTACAAGATTAAGTAGGGAAACTGTTCTAGATTAAAAATTACTATAGAGAACTGATAACTAAATACAATATATGGTCCTTGACTGGATTCCAAATGCATAAAAAACATTACAAAGGACATTGTGCACTTCTAGGACACAAATGTCTTGGTAAATTTAGGAGAAAGGATAAGATTTCTAGAATTATGATTTGGGAAATGCTAGCATAGGTGGTGCCCTATGAATTGATATGTATTGTTCCCAGCCATGCTACATGTCCCCATAAAAATATGATCTTTTTTAATTTTGATTATTTATAGGAGAAAAAGAAGATTTCCTGTTGAAACTGAAATTTTAAGTATTTCTATGATTGCTGAGGGATGTCAACATAGTCAATTCTAAAATATCATATCTGGATTATAGATTTATAATTAGTGCTTAGATACCAAATGGGATTTATTATAAAGTTGGGGAATTCCAAATCTGGGGACTATCTTTAAGGTTACATGGTATCAACCCTCATTATTTTACAGATGAAAAAAAGGATCCAAATGTAAGTCACCTACCCATTCAATTGGAAGGACAATTGATCTGGAAATCTTACCTCCAAATTTAGGACTCTTATAAAACCATTGAGATTTATTTAACCAATAAATGTCAACAGGGGTGTCCCTGGTGTGCAAGGGGTTAAGTACAGCACTATGAAGCTATTCACAGCCACTGCAACATGAGTTTGATCCCCAGCCAGGGAGGTGACACACATCGCGCAGCAGACCTCTCCTGTCTCGCCTGCTGCTCCCCTCAGTAGTGTATTTCAATCTACCTGTTCTGTTCCCCACTCTGTCTCTGGTGAATCCTCTCACCACACCCCCACCTCTGGCCTGTACCCCAGTTCTTGTATGCATAAACAAATGAATCTTAAAAAAATCAATAAATGTCAACAAACAAGACATCATAATGGTCCGCCCTGAGTCCGGACCCTTTATGAAGGAGGAATTGCATGATAATCCTCAACAAGCAAAGAGCTTCCAATCCCAGCCTTGTAATAATGCAGGCAGTCTGCTGAGGCCAAGCCAAACCGAGACATGCCCTTTGCTTGACTTTTTTATTACATAAGAAAGTACTAAGAGTTCAAGCCAACACTTTTTTTCTCCCTGAACAAAGAAATACAAAAGAAATCACTGCTTATGAAAGATGGATAACAAGATTCTTAAGTGTTTAATTTACGCTTCTGGTAAACATTTCCCTCACAACACATTCCTAGTAGTCTTCATCCCATCTGGTATAATGACAGGAGAGATTAAATCATTTTTCCTTTATATAATGTGTGTACCTCTTTAGGGGATTTTTACATCCCCTAATATATATCTCCTTCTGAGAATAATCTCCTGACCAAATGGTGAACTTAAGAAATAAAACAGCTCTTCTTCCTCAGATGGTCTCCCTAACTGCCTAATGCCCATTCTTCAGGGTTAGTGAAATGTACCACTGTGGTCATGATGAGATGTGATCTCTCCATGTAGTGGGGCAAGTACTGGGGTCAAGGGGGAGGGCTGGCAAAGGGTGCTAGAGGGCACAGGGAGCCACAAAGTGAACAAGGTCAAAGTCTGTAGAGGTAAACTGAAGTCTAAGTACCTGTAAGAACACATTCAATGCCAAGTTGGGAGGCTACCATGATTGAATCACTAAATCAAACATTTAAACTGAATGGAAATGGGCTTGTAGCACAGACAAGCCAAGGTCAAGGAAGACAGTCTCTTGGAAAACAGTCCCAGATACTAGCTAACAAGTATTGTTCATATTTGAGGCTGGCAGGGCCTAGTGTCCATGGAATTTGGCACAGGTGGCCGGGATCAGTGCACCCAGAAGAGATGAGCCTCACAATGCCTGTGATTCTGCATCCTTAAACCAGCCCAACCACTGGTCAATGAACAACAACTAAGAGCACCAAGTCTAACTGAAAACTGAATCTCTACATCCAAGTAGGTCAACAGGGTGTGACGTCAAAGACAAATCCATTGCTGCTCCAAAATCAAGTCTGATAAGTCAAGGAAGGAATAAGAATGCAAGCGTAAGCCAGGGAAAACAGCAGCCCCGGTGGTCAAAGATGGAGGAGTGCAGTATAGAGCAGCCACAGCCAAAGAGTGGAAGGTACAGTCACTCTTCACTCTGTTTCTGCTGCTCTTGATGGAATATGTCTTGTGCCATTAAAAGTATACCAGAAACATTGTTTACTCTATTTCCTTCCAATAAATTCAGAGTATGAAGGATAAAGGAGAAGTTTACATAAGAGGAAGAGTATAAGAATATAATAGGAAGTTTTATTTATTTATTTTTGTTAAAAAACTATTTGGGGGGGCATAGAAGAGCTGGGATGTAAGCCAGAGGTGCAGGGGGAAGGGAAGGGATGTGAAAGGATCACCAGAGACAGAGTGGGGAGCAGAACAGGTAGATGGACTGAAATACACAGCTAAGGGGAGCAGTGGGTGAGACACGAGAGGTCTGCTGTGCCATATGTGGGTTAGGTCCCTGGCCTGGGATCAAAATCAGGTCCAAGCAGTGAATTTCAAACATGTAGGCATTCCAACTAGAACATAAAGGGGGAAATATGATGAATAAAACTATTTCATGGTCAGCCATGTTGAGTTTTCCAGTTGACTATGTGTGAGCCTGACCATGGGTCATGTCAAGATGCTCTTTAGGCAAACTCTGTGAGGATGCACCCAGTTGGGGGAGAATAACTTTAGCACCCTGGAGAACCCTGGCAGTTCAGTTCATATACATTTATGTTTCCATCCGGAGGGTATAAACCCAGCTGGGCTGGGGTTGGGAAAGGCTAGCCTTCCAGTACGGAAGCCTGAGCATACTGAGCTCCAATAGGGTGTAGGAGCAAAAGAGAGTGAATCCCAGGAGTGCATTAGTACCAGCCTAGAGGAGGGTAAAGAGGCGGGTCCAGTTTAGAGGGTGCTAATGCACCGAGCTTCACCTCAACTTCCATCACAATAGTCCAACTTTTGTCTGTTTCACTCATTGAGTTTCTATTGCACATTTCCTTTCATTTTACTACAGAGCACTTAAAAACCGCTACCCTGCACTACATAACAGCACTAAAAGTTGCCCATGTGCTTAGCGCTACTCTGCTGTCTTCGTTATTCATGTAGGCCCCACTCTTGAAGGAGTTTACAAATCTCTCTGTGAATCCAATTTTTATGTAAAGGCAAAAAGGAGCAAACAATATAGGACAGAACTTAATTAAGTGCCAGTGATGTGCTACAGGCTGTCAGTGATTGGCTGAAAGCAAAAGAGAGATCCTTGGGATGTAGGGGGTAAAGGGTCATGTAAAAAATATACAGAAATTTCTGCACCAAAGAAGTGGTGTTTGAGCTGAACTTTAAAGGGAGAGCAGAATGAATGAGTCTATGACAACAGCATGTGCAACGGTATAGCGATGGGTACGCTCAAGGCCGGTTTGGGAAAGAGTAAATAGAGAAAACAGATGGATGACTGACAGTGTTTTCCATTTTTTAAATAACCTATTCAGACTATATGCTGAGCTAGAACAATTTCCTGCTGGTTTATAAATAGGTCCCAGTTATTTTAGTAAAATGTAACACTGATGATCATTCATGGAATGTTCCACAGAGACTTCAGTTTTCCAAGGGTCAGGAGAAAATGTATAAATGTGGAAGAAATGGACAGACCATGAAGTACCATTAATAAATTTTGAATGCAAAGTTTATGCAGAGTTAGTGTTCACAAACAGGCACTAGTGTCCCTCTCTGCTGAAGACCAGCCTTGGCTACTTCCTGGAGATAAGATGGCATTATTTTTGAGTAAGCTTGAATATACTTATTAAGGTTTCCTGGTTTTTTGTTTTTTTTTTTTTACAGGTTTTATTAGTGTTTGACAGGGGAGAGAGGCGTTCTCAAACGTCAATTGTTTGATAAGAATTTGCGCTGTTTTAGTATTTGAAATGGTCTTATTAACAGTGGCTATTAGTTGAGACAAAAAATTTTGATAAGTCTTTTTTGGTTTTTGTTTAATGTTGGATAAGCCTGAAGTTTTTATGTCAGAAGTTGGGCGCTTTTGTCATGTAAGAACGACAGTATTTTTCATGATGCGCAGTGTCACAGGAGGGAGGGCTACCTGATTTTGAGGTCTGTGTCACTTGTCTTCCCCCATTACCATTTTAAGGTTTAGGTTTTTTTTGTTTTGTTTTGTTTTTTTTTGGTTTGCCTTTGTTATACTCCCGTAACAGTCTTTTTGTCTTATTTTTATAATTTGTGTTTTACAACAAATATGTACCTCTAGGAAAGCTAGACTTAACCATCTGCTCCCAGTCAAAGGGTGTTAAATAACAATTGGTAACCATATTCAGTAGCTGTATGACATATGGAGACATAGGACCATAGTCAGACATGGATTGTTTTAACTTTTTTAAAAGCTTAAAAGGAAGAGGACTTCACTGAGGGTTTTTAAATTTATTATTTACATAATTAACAGGATAACATTGAAAAGTAAAATTACCGTGTTTTTTAATCTTTTTTATTGCCCTTGTAAATTTTGTTGTTTTATTTTTACTTTTCAGCCACTTCGCTGAAGGGGCGAGGGGTGGTACAGCATTAGGGAGTCTCAAAGGAGAATTAAAACATTGTTTTGGCTGTGCCCTGTCCCTCGTCAAGTCCTTTACATATCTTTTAACAATGTCAGTCAACTCTGTCAGAATAGAGTCCAGGTTTTTTTTTTACCATAAATCACAAGGTGCAGCAGAGCCTCAGGAGGGGCATTGCTTTTGCCTTTTAGAAAACTATCTGGCTTTTTAAATATCATTTTTTAATTTGATGACTCAGATTTATTATCCTGTACTGTATTAATTGAGTTTCCCTGGTTTTTGAGTCCCTGTTTTGAACTTTTTTTGCCGAGGTTGAGGTGGTCTACCTGTTCTGAAAGCTGTCTCTCCACATCAGGGACTGGAGGGAAGCTCTTGTCCCCTACTTCTGAAAACAAGGACTGAGACTCTTGTAGTTTGTTGTTTATTTTTTTTAACTTAGAACCTTGGTCCAACATATTTTTAACAGCCCCCCAACAAAGAAAAGGCATTGATGGGGACCTTCTTAGGACCAAAGATGGAATAATAGGTCGTTATCTTCTCCACCACTCAGGCTTAAGTTTTGACATCGAGAGTGCCATCCCTCGGAAACCAGGGGCAACAAGTTTTTATAAAATTTAAGAATGAAGCCAATTGTGCATGGGAGGTTTTTATTCCTCTCTTGTTAAGCATATGTTTAATGATATTTATAGAGTCTTTTTTCTTTAGAATCAATATGGCCCATAACTTTTTAAGATAAGACACCCACTCATCTAGTTCTGAGTTACTGTTCCTTCTCACTCCAGCTATCTCTACGGAGGGGTCCCGGTACTCTTGAGCAGATCCTAGCCGTTTCCCAATCTCTCCGAAATTTTTAGTATGAAAAATGACTTACCTGTCAGGTCCCTGTTCGGGCGCCACCTGCCGAAAACCAGCCTCGGCAAACTGGGTGTCGGGGTTCCTGAAGAATGGGACGGCGTCGGCACAATTGAGGAATGAATCAGACACACTCAATGTCTTGTGTTAGTGTGTCTCTCTCTGAGGGTCTCAGTAAGTCTTTATTTATTCATTTTTAGCAAGCAGTGAGATTACATCATCATATGCATAGAAGCAAAGCAAAAACAATCAGTGCATTCTTTTCCCATAGACTTTTGGTTGCTATGTGCTCTCAGCAAGAAGGCAACCTTCAAGGTTAATAGATAAAAAACTGAACCTTACACTGAAACTTATTATTTCTGTCCACCTAAGACAGTTGATAACTGCCAGTACACTTCTATCAGCTAAAGCCTAAACATCAAAAGATTCTTCTATTCAAATGGCCTTCAGCCGGAGACCAGCTGCTTTCTGGTTATCAGCTAGCAGTGTTTTCTACCAAGAAACTTCTTAACACAATTAACTTAATTTAAAAACTTTCCCAAGAAGCTTCTAAAAAGAGTAAAAGGACTTACTATAATTGTTGTCCTGGGTTGCTTGTCAGGCATGCTCATGTATAACAAACTCTTTCCCATTGTTAGGCAGGCCAAATTTACAGTGTTTAATTTTTAAGCAGGTATTTCTTTGTGCCATTTACTTACAGTATTATATACGTATAATTTATTGCCCAATGTGCTGCTTTCTGAGAAGTTTTTTCTTATATGACCAAGAACAAAAAGCAAAAGGATGCTTATAGGTTATAGATAAATCTTCAGCCCCACGGTGTGAGGCACAAGGAATCTTCAGCCCCACGGTGTGAGGCTCTTTTTCTTAGCTGCTTGCCAGTGTCTTATCTGGCTGGGGCAGCAAGGACCCCCACTCCTCTCACTTTCTCCCCTTGGATATGTTCCTTATTTACTGTACACAGTGCTGGTGGCTCCAGCTGACACATATCTCTGACTATGACAGAATGAGAATGGAAATTGGAAGATAGAAAAAAATAAAAGCACAAAAGATGAAGTAGGGGCCTCCCCGGTCGTGCAGCAGTTGAGCACTGGGCTGCGAAGCTGCCTGCAGCCTCTGCAGCACCGGTTCAATCCCCAGCCACCAGCGAGAGTCCCACATGGCGCGACAGACTTCTCCTGCCACACCCGCTGCTCTCCTCAGCAGTACTTCATTGGTCTGCCTGTTCTTTTCCCCACTCTGGCTCTGATGAATTCTCTCACCCTCCCACACTTCTGACTGTACCCAGTGCTTCATAAATAAATAAATAAATCTTAAAAAAAAAAAAGATGAAGTAATCTGTCTGAGCTCACAGAAGGATGGTACCAAGGTTGCAGTTCAGGACACCCATCTCAGGTTTCCTTTCATCCAGTCTTGGACACAGAATTCCTTACTACCTTTGTACCCGAGAAGTCATCAGGACTGTATAGAATTTCAAGTACCGTGACCTCTAAGATGAGATCCTATCCATTAGGCTGGCATGTATCATTGATTGGGGATCCCAAATGCCTGGATTTGAGAAATGTTCCAGTGCATATACACGTACATGTTATATAGTGTCCTAAAGAAAGAAGATATTTACATTGGTAGTTAACTAGTTTAGGATGGATTTGCATTTTACTTCAATGAGCCTCATTCTTAGTCTCCCTGTACTAGTCTATCTACCCACTGTTTGACTAGGCATTGCATCACTATATATCCTTTATTCTAGCCTTCGAAAAATTATGAACATCTTTTTTATTTATGTTTTCCCTTTGAGTTTCTCTTACAATTGACTTAGGGAAAAAATAAACAGATTATCCTAAATAGACTATGTCCCAGATATAATATACCCAGTAAAAGAGGGAGCTTAGACTTCATTCACAGCTTTGAATGATTAAAATTAAGCTGCAGTAACAGCAACAGCAAACTACCTTATTACAAAAAATTTCCTAGGAAAAATGTACAATAGCTTATCTCATAGCTGAAGAGATCACTATCAGACATCTCAAACTACAAAATAACACTACTATTAGTGATTCCAGAAGCTTTTGCAAAGGTTTGGATTTGTATCTAAGCCTTTACCCACACCCCAGCTGTCTAAATAAGAATGAGCACTATTAAGTAGCCCTCCCTTCCACTCAGTAATAAAACTACCACCAAAAGAGTTTCTGGCCATTGCAAATATCCTCCCAAAAGTTCTTAAAATACTCCTAAAATTGAAAAGAAAGTTACAAACAACTTATCAAATGCAATAATAGCTACAAAAATGTTTTTGACAGGCAGAATTTGTAACCAGTCAAGGAGAATTATTTTCACACATCATTTAAGATTTCTTTCTTAATGACAAAAGTTTTTCCTGCTTCAGCCATGCCATTGTACATAAGCCTTACATTTCATGAGGATTTTCTTCTACATAGTGATATACGATAACAACTGTGTAATATATATTAAACAACCAGCTAATCAGAATTTAAGTTCATTTAGGGCCACCCTGGTGGTGCAGTGGTTGAGCGCTGGGTGGCGAAGCCGCCCGCAGCCTCTGCAGCGCTGGTTCAATTCCCGGCTGCTCCCTGGCCACTGGAGGAGGGTCCCACATGGCACGCAGACCTCTCCTGCCGCCTGCTGCTCCCCTCAGCAGTATACCTCGGTCCTTCTGCCTGCTCTGCTCCCCACTCTGGCTCTGGTGAATTCTCTCACCCTCCCGCGCTTCTGACTGTACCCAGTGCTTGTATAAATAAATAAATAAATCTTTTAAAAAATTTTAATTTCATTTAATTCACTTGACTGTTATAACGTAAACAAGCAGGGTTTACAATATTATTCTTGGTTCCTAACATCCCAATATCTTTACTCTGGGGTATGAAAGAACTAGAAAAAAAAATGGGAGACTTCTATTTTAGAAATCAAGTCAAGTTTTTCATTTTGACACCTAAAACAAAGGCAAAACTATAAAACAACCAAAAAAATGCCAGTTTTCTGAGAGGTGGTACTTTATATAACTTCTTTTCTGTGCAGCCCTCATGAAATAAAATTCAAGTACTTTGCATTTTGGGTATTCTATATTAGCAAAGGAAAGCTACACACCTGGGTGATCAGGAAACACACCTTCTCTTTGTTATCCATATGGTTTATTTAGGTTTTCCCACATGCACCCCACCAGGCATGACTTCCACTCAGTGGGACTTGAACAAAGGGTGTGAAGTCAGTGGGAAAGGAGGTTATCATGATGCTGAAATTAGCTGTGGTTATATGAGATGTCTTGGTTTATTTGTGATTCAGAGCACAGTGTTAAAGTTTTTGGGATAATACGCAACAAAATAAAGGTCTAATTTTGTTTATCTTAGCATTTCCCAAGCTTAGCTGATGACAGAACCCTGTCTTCTAGAGACTTTGTGCTAGTATTTTGTGGGGTACCTCTGGAAAAATGTTGACCTGTGCAAGAGCACTGGCTTTCACTCAGACACAAGAACATGCCAGGCTCTCTTTTCCATTGATAACTTTGAAACTATGGACAAGTTGCCTCCCTCTCAGAACCCTGGTTTCCTCATCTGAATTGTGTGGAAAATAATATCTATGTCAAGCAATCTTTTCAAGACCTAGTAGATGCTCAATAAATATTACCTTCTTCACCCCTTTACAATCCATGACAGTATAAATCTTTCTGTGACTCCACATATATTCCAAGACCCTCTCTAATATGATCACTTTTTTCTTCCTGTCTCCTCTCCTAGTTACATGGAAAAGTTTTAAAACTGTTTCAAAGTTCAATATCTAGAATCTGTGTGACACGTGGCTCGTGGCAAGTTACTTCTCTCTCTGTTCCTTAGTGTCCCCACCTATAAAATGGGGATAATAATGGTACCCACTTCATAGGGTTGTAAAGATTACAGATTAATATTTATAAAGCATTCAGAATAATATCTGGAATAAGGTAAATAAATGCTTGATAATCTCAATAAAAGTACTAATAGTCTTCTAATCATACACTATGTTCCAGCTACACTTGGGTCCTTACCATTCAAAGATATCTGGTGTTTTCCCAAGTCCACATCTTTGCTCTTGATGAACTCTTCACCTTTTCTTTCTAGTGAAGTCATATCCATCTTTATAGGCCTGTCATGAATGCTAAATTCTTGGTGAAACCTTTGCAGATTTCTGCTAACCAGGTGTCTTCCTTCTTGAAGAAATCCTCTCGGGGCTTTGTATCATAGTTCATTGTACCACTCTTATCATATTGACTTTGTATTCAGTGAATTCTGTACTCCTCAAGGAGCAACACACACACACACGCACACGCACACGCACACACACACCCACTCAGCAGTGTGAGCTAGCAGAAACCAGACCAACCTCTCTGTAACCTTGGACAAGTTGCTTCACAGAAGCTTTGGTTTCCTGTTTCTTAAAACACTGGGTTGGATTATACCAACTCTTAAAGCCTATTCTATCCCCTTCTATAAATCCAATACATACTCCTTGGGCAATCATATACATGCTTTGGAATTCCAATCAAATAACAAAGTTTAAGTCAGAAATGTCTGGTCAGAAGCCCTTGATTGCACTGTTTGTTAAAGCAAAATACCAAACCCATATAGATAAATATAGCATATGCGTTACAGCATATACAGCTATAATGAAAAAAAAAAAAAAAGAAAAGGAAGAGAGTTTATCATGTACTGATAAGGAAAGTTCTCCAGGTCTTACTAAGTAAAAAAAAAAAAACAAGGTGAAAGAGCAATGTTTGTAGTATGCAATCTGTTACATAATAAAGAGAGAGAAGTAATAAGAATACATATTTGATTTTGCATATATTTGCCTAAAGAGACACTGGGCAGTTGCTCTGGAAGCATATATAAGAAATTTAAAAAGTGGCTACTTAAAATGGAACAGAGTCCAGGATGGGGTGGATGGTGATTAGGGAGTGCAAATTTTGATGCACACCTTTTAGTACCATCTTTAGTTTTTTAATCAAAATGTGTATATATTTAACATGAATGTGTTGCCTATTCAAAGAAAAAGCTAAAATTAACAGAAACCGTTCATTGTGAAAGTGAGTATTTTTAACAGAAGCAGATGTTTATCTGATTTATTTATTTTCTCCATTCTTTGTGCTAGGGAAGAATAAGGAATGATTTACTAATTTATTGTTGCATATTTGTACGGGGGTATGAATTCATATGAAAAATTGGCTATTGGAAAGATCACACTTCAGCAGTGAGAGGATTTCTGGAGTAGTCTTC